GCAAATATTTGGTTTGTATAAGTCATTCTATTTATTTGGAAATTTGCCATGTTTTGCAAAATAAGTTTGCTGAAAACGGACAAATAATTTATTTGATACTCTTGAAATTCCTGAGAAGCAAACAACATCAAATAATTGTCACTTGCTGTGATCGTACTTGATGTACTTTTATCTCCCGAACACGTTCCTTCAGAGTCGATTTTAGATCAAGTCCAGTAGAGAAAAAATTCCACACGAATTTTATATGATAAATCGTAATTGTACCATTAAAGCTTCCTCTCGGGTGCCGGACCGGTTCCCCTGAAATCTGTTTCGGAACAAATAAACTGGAGTAAAGGATTTATTTAATGCAAACAAACCGAGCTTGGAGGAGTTCATAGGACTTCTAGGATAGTTTTTTTTGAATTCACTGGGATATCCGTTGGGCTTCTCAAGGGAGTTCATAGGACTCGAAGCTTCCCATGATTAACGGGGAGATTCCCTCCTTCACTTTAAACTGGTTAAGCAACTGACCCTCTGGTTAAGCATTTTCAGAATGCTCGAAGCAAAACTATTGCATATAGAGGAAATGCATGTAATGTCGGCCTAAATGCTCCTATTTGGGCCCATACATAATCAGCAATCGACTAAATTTTCAATACTTACTTACAAAGGTGCAAAGGGTCAAAGTGAAAGACTTCCATCCCGGGCGGCTGCTCGCTTTTGCCTTGACATGGGCCCAGGTCAGATTCCTATAGACTTGCTTAATTTCCTTATTGAGGCTTCGCCGCCATGAACCCCTGGGTCTGCCTCTGCTGCGATGTCCTGCCGGATTCCAATCCAGCGCTTGCTTGCAGATTTCGTTTCCGCCCCGTCGAAGTGTGTGGCCGACCCACCTCCACTTTCGCTCTCGAATTTCTGTTGCTATCGGCTTCTGATGACATCGACGATGGAGCTCGGCATTCGAGATCCAGTTGTGAGGCCACCAGGCATGAATTATATACCGCAGGCATCGGTTGATGAAGACCTGCAGCTTTTGAGTGTTCTCCGCTGATACACACCACGTCTCGCTGGTGTATAACAACACAGATTTCTCGTTCGATTGAAAATTCGGATTTTGGTGCGTTGAATTATCTGGTTAGATCTCCGTACGTTTCGTAAACTCGCAAAGGCAGCCCTAGCCTTCTTGATTCGTGCACCTATGTCGCTCTTGGTCCCGCCGTCCGACGCTATTTGGCTGCCAAGATATTGGAAACTTTCGACCTTCTCCACTGCTTGCCCCACTACCGTAAAGTTGGAAGGGTTGCCCGTGTTGATATCCAACGATTTGGTCTTGTTGACGTTGATGGTGAGACCCACCGCAGAGGAGCGTTCGGCTAGGTCATTGAGCTTACTCTGCATATCAGAGCGCCGTTGTGCTAGTAGAGCAACATCATCAGCCAAATCGAAGTCGTTGAGATGCTCCATGGTGATAGGCTGCCAAAGCCAAGGTTCGGTACACGGTCAATTGCACCTACCATGATCTCGTCGATTACGATGAGGAACAGTAGCGGTGATAGTATACATCCTTGTCTCACACCAGCGACTACCCGGATAGGGTCGGACAAGGCTCCGTTATGCAGAACTCTGCACGTGAAAGCCTCATACTGCGCTTCGATGAGGTTGACGATTTTATCCGGGACTCCCTTGCGTCTCAGGGCGCCCCACAGATTCTCGTGATTGAGATGGTCGAAAGCTTTTCGTAGTCAATGAATATCAAATAAAGGAACTCTTGGAATTCATTGACCTGCTCTAGGATGATGCGGAGCGTGACAATATGGTCCACACAAGATCTTCCAGCACGGAATCCTGCCTGCTGCCGTCGGAGAGTCGCGTCGATCTTCTCCTGTATCCGATTCAGGATAACTCTGCACAGAACTTTGAGAACAATACACAGTAACATTAACATTAACAGTAACAGTAATTTTCAATAGCGACCAAAAATATTCACTAGTAACGTCTCAATGACGTGTTCATCTAGATACAATTAATAAATAGCAGATTTTTAGCGATGGGGACAATCTTAGATCTATAGGCCAACATTAGAGCCATTTCCCCTACCAGTCGAACAAACTATTAAATTATTTTCAATGCTAATTATGTTTGTACCCGGTGGCATCCAGTTAGTTGAATTTGATACTTACTATCATTCCCTGCGAAATTGAAACGAAAATTGATTTTGATATCTGCACCGGCAATAGTGGCATTTCCCCTGACTTTCACATGAATGGGACCGATCCGATCGTACACATTCAGCGTAAAGGCCATGTATGCGACCACCAGAACCGGACGAGCATCGGACCCGGAAGGAGGCCCTTCATCTACGGGGGCTGGGTGCGCTCCGGAGGTGTTCTGTGTTGTGTCGTTGTTTGCGCTGTCGATTTGCTGATTTCATTCCTTATTCATGCGACTAATCTATGCTGGAAATCGCTAAATTAGAACCCGTACCACTCAGCCAGTCGGAAGCCGAGAGAGAGAGAGAGAGGGAGAAGAAAAACAGAAGTCACAGGGACCGTGCCCAAAATGGTCGTGTTTCCGGACTGTGGAAAGAGGTCGATTGCATTCTCGGGACAGATGGCGTGTGACCCACCCCTGGCACTGGCTGATGGAACGAGGCGACGCGAAAGGTGACCGAATCAGGAAAAACAAATTTATTAATTTGTTATACAAATGGTTTCGATTTTCTTCTGGGGACTTTCTAAATCGTACAACAAGGGGTTGTGGGTGCGAAGAAAAAGGGTGGGGGGGGAGGGGGTGTTCGTTCAGGAATGTATATATTAGCGCTTGCGAGTACAATTTAGGGTGTTAATTCACCAGTGAATGTATTTGATGTAATGAGGTGCTGGAATTTGTTAATAAATCAACTCAGATATAAATCATGGCCTAAATGTGATGATTGAATAATGTTGGTGGAAGTATGCTGTGTTTATTCAACACTGTGATTGTTCCCAAAGCTTGATGCATGACATTGCTTATGGACTTGAAAGCAAACTGCACAGTCAAACAAGCAATCATATTTGAACTACAGTCAACTCTCCACAATTGGATATTCTATAACTCGATATTTTCTATACCTTCATGGATTTGGTGGTCCTTTCATTTTCCATGTTTCATACTCGCCATAAGTCGATGCCTCCTATGGTCGATGTTCTATAGCTCGATATGTCAAAGGTAGAGCTTCTGAATTTTGTGATTTTGATGTTGAAATCAAAGAGACTTTGAAAACATTATAACTGGTGGGCAAATTGCGTAACAAGAACCCATTAGCAGAACATGTTTTTGGTGTGCTTGGAAAAATGGTCCATCTTTTTCATCCTTATAGAAATCTATCATGAGGCTAATAAAATTGGTGTATTCAGGGCAAAAGTGCCTGATGTTTTGAGAAAAAGTCTTAAAGGAGATCAATTAAGTGTCGTACTATGTCCTCAGAAAGAAGGGATACAGGGTGAATGTTATCCCTAATAATTTTTAGTTTTTTTTTAAATTTCGGAAGTCCAAGAATCTTGAAAAAATTATAATTTTAGGTTCTTACTACACACTTACAAAAAATCATTTAATTAGTTGCCCTTAGAGTGACATACACAAGCGTCAATTTTGACATAAATTTGAGTCATAATAGACGCGAAATATAGCTTAATCTTTAAACTTAATATGACATGACATGTTTGTTAACGTCTCATCTTTTATGTCAAAGACGTATTCCGTAAAAAATTAGTTCTTTCAAAGTGTGTAGTAAAGCTATGTCCATTTAGAATCCGGAATAATTAAATCATCTGTATCTCGGTAACAGATTGACGTACGAATAGGGTTAATACATCAAAACAAAGGTAATTCACTGTAGTAATATCAATACACATCATTTCTCTTCGTTTCTAATGAAAATTCGCACTATCTTCTTTATTCCTCCCATCAAACGCTGCAAACCTCCGGAGTCAACTTCCTTGGCACATTTGTTCCACATTTTGGTCATCTGAATCGCGTCCCGAGCTTTCGCTTCATTATTGCCCAAAATCTCTCGATGGGCCGGAACTGCGGGCAGTTGGGTGGATTTATATTTTTATCGATGAAATCTACGTTATTATCGCGGTACCACTGGATGACTTCCCGGCTGTAGTGGCAACTCGCCAAAACTTCACGGGACCTTTATGGGCTTTAATGAAAGGTAGTACGTGGTTTTTGAGGCATTCTTCCTAGTACAGCTTTGAGTCCATCGTCTTACCTTGAGGCACTCGATCCACGCTCTTTCGCTCCCTGAAACGTTTGAGCACATCATACACGGTTGATTTGGCGATTTTCAAGGTTTTTGCGATTTTTATTGCGGACCACGTTGCATTATCAACGTGGGTGTGCAGATTTTTTTCTCTCCATCTGGAATAATTTTTGACTCACTGCACGAAACACCATATTTATACCACAGAAAGTGGGCGCCTAGGTAAACAAACCACTGTAAAATAATTATTGCAGCGGTCACTTCCCGTGCCACTGCTGCAAAATAAGTGATTCCAGATTCTAACTGGACAGCACTTTATTTAAATATTTAAAGCACATTAATGTTATTCCCAAAGCTTTCAAAATTTCAAATTTATTCAAATTTCATATAAATTTTTCGAAGTCTGTAAACGCTCTTGAAATTAAAGCTTGCCATATACACGAATTTTATAAATTGAAAAAAAAAATAATGGTTGAAATTGCTTTAGGCATTTTAAAATTGAAATAATTGGGACAAATTTTTAAGAATTGTTTGATTGAACAATCTGTGACTGTGAGATTTAATGAAAATTTCAATGAGTCAGATTCCTAAGATGCTGAGAAAAGAAATCTTCGTAGGGCTGAAGAAAATGTTTAATTCCTGGATATTAACAAAAATAATAATACAAGATTCTGAAACCACAAATTAAATGTCCGATTTTGATTTTTTTTTCAAGATCCCAAATTTGAAAACAAATATCAATATAATGGATCTTAGCAAATTTTAAAGAGTCATGGATATCAGCACTGGTGGTGTAATGGTAAGCGTGATTGCCTATCATCCGAAATGGCCTGGGCTGAATTCTAGTCGCCACCACCGGGGTTTTCTGAGGCATAAAATCTCTGATCACGTCTTCCTTCGGAAGCAAAGTAAAGCCGTTGTTGGTCCCCGATCCATCAGTTGATGGATCAATAGGTATGGTCCAGGTGTAGGTGCTGCCTCTCTGGCGTCGGTAGCATTGGTACTCAGTACGGAAAACAAGATCGACGGAAAAAGAATCAAGGAAAAAAAAAAGGGACATGGACTTGATTCAGGCATTTCGTGGTATCTTAAAGAGAATTCTATTGAGTATTCCAAGGGTGTTCTGACATGAATTTCAATTTATTGTTGAGGTGGCTTCCAAGGTCATTCTGAAGACCTTTTGATTCTTGGTAAATGCTCAGGAGATTTCCAAGAGAGTTTTGAGAAGAATTCTAAAATAAATTCAAACGAGAAGAGCTTCAATTTCAGTCCAAGTAGAATTCCAAGGTGAGAAGAAAATTCAAAAGATTTTTTAAGCATAATATCTAAGCAAATGTGAAATTAATTCTTAGTTGATTCTGAGAAGAAATTCAACGGGAAATTGAAGCATTATCCATTAGGAGAAAATAAAAAAACTTAATGTATGACAAGGAATTTTGACTAGGAATGATGAGTAGAATTGCAGGTGAATTTAAAGGAGAATTTTAAAAGAATTCTGAAGAAAATTCCAAGGGAGTGCTAACCAGTGATGGGAAAATATCAAAAAATCAAATCTCACCAACGCCCAAGATCACGCTTGATTTTCGTAGACATAAATCAACAAGCAAACAACTGCGGTTGATTTTGCAAACTGTGATATCGCAGCTCGGAGTATCAAGCTAACAAAACTCACCAGCTGCAAATTTCAACAAACTGTGGTGAGATTGAGTTTCATGATTTTTGCTTTACACCCGAATGCAACCGAAACTTCCATAACGGCTGGCAGCAGTCACTTCGTGTCTGCCATCGGTGAAGAGTAAAAAGAAATAGCAAACTATACCTTCTCTTTCTACGAAAACGAGGTGCAACGGAATCATTTTTGTGTCGAGTCAACTCTACGCTTGATTTCTGAACGTTGTGAATAATCTCGCAATATCAAAGGAGCTTGTAAAATCAATATAAAGCATGATATTTTGTTCCAATATCACGCGTGATATTACGAGCGCATGAGAGTGGAAAAATATCAATTGATTGCTGATTTTGCCAACACTGGTTCTGACTATAATTTATGAGAAGAATTCAATGAAATTTCTGAGGACATTTCCAAGGAAATTCTTAAGAGAGCCTTAAAGGAATTCCATGGAGTATTCCATGCAATTTCTATGAGAATTAAATAGAAACTAAAAGTGGCATTCCATGAGAATTCTGAAACATATTTTTAGAAATTCCTTAGCAGATTTCAAAAGTAGTTTAAGGAATAATTGCATCGATGCTTTGGAAAGATATGTACTAAGAACATATTGATGAAAATTTCAAAAGAAACAGAAGTATATTAAGAAGAGTTTAAAGCAATTATGCTACACTCATTAGAAATTCGATGTAAATTGCAGAGTGAATGTAAAGTTTTCGTTTTTAAGAGTATTTTGATGAAAATTATGTGTGAGCTGGAGTTCCAAGATGTATTTCTTAGATCATTAAAAAAACCAGAACAAATCCCAAAAAAATCCTGTGAAAGAATCCACGATAAACCTGAACTAGAAAACCAGTGATGTCGCTTCCACATGTGCAACCTGTGCACGACACAGGTGCAAATAATATAAAATGATGTGCTTAGATTTTTATTGATTTTATGGTCACATTATAGCTATACTTCTACACTCCAGACCACAAGTGACCATGAATGCAGTTTTTAATAATGTGATTAATGAAATCTTTGACCTTGGTTTGCTTCAAGAAGTATTAAATTCAGTTTGGAAGGTCTGCACTAATGTACTGATTGTTGCTATCACTACCAGGAATAAACTCGTAAAATAATGCTTCTAAAAGCGAGCTTTTTTTGGTGTCAGGCTGCAAGTTTATGAATGGTCAAATGCCTGATGTTGAGTGATTGCCAGACCTTCCATTACCTGGCGATAAAATTAAATCATGCTTGAAAAATACCACAAATTGTCCAAAATTTAAGGCATGGATATGGATGCATTCGATCTGATTTTGAATCTAGTGACAAACAAGATAATAAAAGACTGGACCAACTTTAATCAAGAACCTATTCTACCTGGTGAACGATTGATTACTCTGTAACGGCGTAGAACGTTGAATATTGTACACATTCAGATCATCAAGGGTTCTGTTGTCCTTGTACACAAGCTTGTGTACGAGACTTTGCATCTCCTTTCGAAATTCCAGTTTTTCTCTTGGATTCAGTTTTTTCACATGTGGCAGGAGGTTTTTGAAGATTGCTTCATCCTCATCGTCGTCACAAGCACTAGACTTATTAGTCTTTTTTTTTTCCAGAAGACTCAATTTCCGGGCTTCAATGTCAATCAGCTGCTGTTGAACACCTCACTTTCCAAGTCTGTTGTTGCCTCTCCTCCCAGCTTACAGGAAACTTGTCGCCAAAGCTTATCGACAATCAACCTGTTCCGGTACTGTTTCAATGTTTTGTCTCACAGTGCCTCCCTCGTAAAAACGAGAACAATCAGATTTTCCGAATCGATATCGAGGTCCATTTTTCCTCAATCGAATCAGTCCACTTGCGTTCGCAGGCGTCAAAACACAACACGAACAGCTCTGTCGCTTTGCTGAACGCTGCACATCTCTTCGCATCGCTTTCACTAATAGCGAATTTGTTTATTATCCAGGTTGGAACCAGTTCCAACCCGTGCGAACCCAAGCTTATTGTCAGTGCGAACCTCAACCCGAGCCAGGTTACAAAAACAAACGTTCACACTGACGTTTGACAGACAACAAGCAGAACCAACTTTGATACCCGATCCAGGTTGGAACTGAATCAAAAACAAATTTGCTATATAACAGGTTTGAGCGATTCCCATAGAACGCTCATAGAGGGTGCTTTCACGCAAGCGCTTCGCTTATTGCCAACGCATCGAATCGATTCAAATCGCCTCTACTATGTTGTCGGCCTAACTCTATTGATTAGTTAATCTTAGTAGGTTAATTAATGGCACCAAGAAATGTGCAAATATTGCTATGCAATCAATTATTATTTTGCTCGTAAATCGAATCTAAAATAAAAGTCATGTGAAATGCTAGCTTCTAGCAAGGGTTGCAAGATAATTTATGTAAAAACCCCTGCTGCCGAATTGTCTTTTGTTTTCTCCGCCCATCTCTCTCTCTGAGTATTTCTGGTTGCGCTGGTTGCGTCTGTCAACAAATAAGAGCTGTTTGTGGTTCATTCATGTAGTGTAGTTCTAATGAATGAAATGTTGATTTTTTTTTCAACTTTGCTACCAAGGGGACTTCATGAATTTTCTCTAGATATTGACACTGTCTTGTAGCAACAAATATTTTCGGAAGTGGTTGATATATATCCTTTATAACACTTTCAAATCTGGCATCACTGACTCAGGGCGATAGGGCAACAGAAGTGATTAAAAATAGTCGCGAACTAACACCCGCTGTGCGGTAGATCAAATCTTATTCATATTAAATTATAGGGGAAATGGATGTAATGCCGGCCTAAATGCCCCTAGTTTGGGCCCATACATAAATTCAGCAATCGACTAAATTTTCAATAGCGCCCAAAAATTTCCATTAGTACCGTCCCAATGACACGTTCATCTAGATTGATAAATTTAAATTTTGATTTAAATTTAGATTGATAAATTTAAAATTGATAAATAGCTGATTTTTATTCATGGGCCCAATCTTAGATCCAAAAGCCAACATTAGAGCCATTTCCCCTATGTGATTATATTGAATAGCATACACATCCAGCATTTTTTTGGGCAACATTGGGACAGATAGCCAAACCTTTCATGCGACAAATTAAATTTTAAGAATTGAGAGTCCTATGTGCGTATTTTTGGTCATATTGGCTTAATATTTTAAAATAAATCCTCAGATTTTTCTTAAAATTAACAACGAGCAAAAACATTTTAATTGTAATTCTATAAGTCGATAATTCTGTAACTCGGTGGTCCCTTAAATATCGAGTTACAGAGAGTTGACTGTATAAACAAAATCGGATTCTTCTCTTTTGAAGACCGACCCTAATCCCTGTTGTCTTCTAATGACCGATAATAAAGATACCTTCAACTCAGCACATTTGATTAAACCCATTTTTTCGGGCTCAGCATCAGAAGAGACCATAACTACCACGAAACCCCCAGCTGATGCACATTTGCTATGCTCTATTATCCCGTTAAAGTATCGTCGCTGTCTGTCTAGTGCATGCAGACGACACACGACCGCCGCTGAGGACGGCAAAATTTGCATTCAAATCACTTCATCGGCACCTGCTGGATTAGAATCGCTGGCTCCCGACGATCGCCGCAGTAAGCGTAAAGTGCATACGACTGTGGCGACGGCGGCGGCGGCTTGCATCATCAGCACCATCACCGCCGTTATTGTCGTTGCCGTTTTCTGCACCGAGTGGAAAACACGGCAAATAGTGGCATCAAAATCCATGTGCTGTCTGGAGGGTTTTCCTGGGAGTTTGCCGCGAACGTGGAGGAAGCCTGCTGAGTGCATCGAATGCGAACCGGGTATAGATGAATTTTGTTTATAAATATAGTGTTTCGCTTCTATTTGCCGGGATGCATGCAGACGGATTTAGACTGGTCCAAGTAACTAGCCAGCTCCGAGGGCTTGCCTCTGGATGCACGAGTCTAACCTGATGTCCCAGTTCAAGCTCGAACCCGTATCCGTCTACTGCTAGAGTAAAGTTTTTCCCCCAATTACCAAAGCTGCTGCTGCTACTGCCACCATCACTTGCAGCTCAGCCCCGGTTCCGGTGTTTGCGTTGTCCCGATTGCTGTCAACATTAGTTAGCGAAGTAGTGTGCCAGCCGACGTTGTT